TAATTTCCAGCAAAGTCGTACCAGAGGAGAACGCTCTTGGGAAATTTAACAACGAACTTAAGGCTCTCTTAGCACAATATAGTGAATAACAATTAGAAAGATATCATTAACATGTGACACATAGCTGTGACTTTCTCCAAACTAATTAGAGCAGTTGTTCTTTTATCAGTATATGAAGATGAACACTAAATCAAAGATATTAATAGCACATATATATTCTGTAATTTGCCATTTAAATTTTATTTGATACGGTGATGAAGGCAAGTCTTTGTTAAAATCTACCTTATCACTTCAAGTGTTGCAAAAGAAACCATTGCATTTCCATCAGATCTTACAGAAGAAACTTAACCTAGCGATACCGGTAGGTTAAAAAAATAAAACTAGAAGAGATGGACCAATGTCTGCTTTTAAGAGAGATAAGCGTCGTATCGCATCTTGTTTCCCTCTGCTGGTACTTGTGCCTCTCAGGTGAAAAAAAAACACCAAACACAATCTATGCAGCTTTATCCAGGGACACATTTTTTTTAAGTTACCTGTCCTGTATTACGCTGTCGATCTTTTGAGTATGACACAAGCAACGTGGCCGCAGCGATACGGATGCAGAACTGTAAATAATCACAGATGTTTCATCAGAAAAACATTCAAGTTATTTCTGTTTGAACAAATGCTTTGCGCAGGAGAGCAGAAGGTACGCAGCAGTACTTCAGCAATTTCCAAGATGTCAAAATACTCCTGGAGGTCCAGGTTACAGGGTGAAATCTTGACCTTAAAAAGATGCTTTTTAAATATTATGGGCCAGCTATGGATGAACATGACCGTGAGCAAATCCTGCTGTGAATTGACAGGGTTCTGTTATTGTTCAGATGACTCCCACGTGCATGCAACAGTCTTAACCAAGCCGAGATGTACAGCGTATTACACATTTAGCTTTTTACGCTAGCTCAGTCTCGTGGAAAAGATTTAAATGGCAAGGCAGGGGACTTGGAGCACCATCTGAGACCAGGGTCTGTAGATAAAGAGAGAACACAGCGCTTTCTGTTTGCAATGCTGTTTATTTTAGAAAAGCCCCTTTGATCATCTGAATGAAAAATGTGGGCAGAAAAGTCACAAATGTTATAAAACAAAGTTTATTCTGCAATATTTTGTCATAATGAATTGCATCTCTTTGGTAAAAATAAACTTTATAAACATTTTAATTAACAGAGATTAGCATACAAAAAACTAAACTTCTGTAAATCGTCTTTAAAACGCATAAAGGACTAAACTGGAGGAATAAGGGTTAGAATTGGTCACCTACTGGCAAAATTATTCTAAACAAACCCAAGGACATTGCTTATGCTACATTAGAAACAAGCTAACGGGAACGGTTTAAAGACAACTCTGGTTCATTTGATCAGAAAGCATTCTTACAATTCACTTTTAAATAAATAATAGTTACAATGAATTGGCAATTATAAAATGTTTTATATCACTATATGGCAGTAACATAATACTTTTAATTATGCACTTTTTAGTTTGAGGAAATGTACATTTATAAAACAGACTTGATAATGGCACTGGCAGTTAGGTGTGAAGAATGTGCTTTAAGATATAATGGCAGGTGCAACATTTAAAATATTCTACCTTTTCTTTTCAATAAATATTTTGACTACACCATTATTAACGTGTATGAGCGTACTTTACTTTAACCAAAGCTTGTACTTACTTTTCAGGCTGATGAAAAGTTGCGAACCATACAACTTCCATTTTACAGTTGGATTTTAAAACATTTGATGTGACTTTTGCAAAAGCAATAATTTAGTATTGGAACCCGAAAAGCCAATACAGGTTCCTACAGTATTTACATCAGATTTATCCTGAACAGAGCAGCCTCTCCCTTGTACATGAGCCTCATACACTTCTTCACTGTATTTAAAGAATTGAATGTGGTTCGTTAATACTTTTCTTGCCAAAATATATCCGAGTCAACCATTGGCATGAACATTTTACATATGTCACTGAAAAAAAACCCAACCCCCAAAACCCAACAATCAAAATAACTTTTAATTATACTCCATTTATACTATATACACCAGGGTCTCTAACTGAGGTGGCAAACAAACCCAAACCCAATGCTAGGTACGTAAGCGAACGGAGAGCAGCTCTTCTCCCACTACCAAGAGGGGTGCTCCGCAACTGAGCTGGCAGCCTTTGCCTGCCAAAATGTGCGGGCAGAGGTGTGGGACAACGCGGTGGAATAGGGCAGGGGCACAGATCGGCCGCCTTCTCTTTCGCAAAGGGGAGAGGGAAGACGGCAAAGCGTGGAGAGTGTGGCCCCGCTTCCCCCCTTCCACAATTCCAGTCCTCCCAGGCTGAAAGCTGTGAGGATGGATGCAGCTTTCACCGTTAACTTCAAATTAGTACGGTTTTATTGCTCGTTGCATATGGTAATTAAATGCATTGTTAGCATCCCAACCCCATCCCTTCAGAAATGCTGAAGTCATTATCACCAACTTCAGGGTTAACAGCGGCACAACCACAATCCTAGTAAGTATTAACCTTCTCAAATTTTATCCAAGGCAAAAAAATAATTCAGAACCAATCCAAACCACAGAGCCAACTATGACCGCAGTTTCCAGAATACCGGGACCTGAATCCAGGTTTCACTGGAAGCTACGGAGAAGCTGCAACCACCTTCAGCGGGAGCCAGGCAGCACCCCTCTTCCACAGCGTGCAACTGAAATCATGGCACCCAGCAAAATCCCAGGCTGCTAACAGTACTTCTGTGTAGCCAAATCCTCGTTTTTGCATTGACACAAACTCTGCCCTTTCCATTTCCCATCCGAGGTACAAAAGCAACTCATGAGCAAAAACCAGTTCCACCAAGCATTCACATCTCCACATCCCAAAATCCTAAGAACCACTGTGTTGGTACTTAATTTTTCCTTTAAATAGCGAGTCTTACCCCTACTATCCATCAGTAACACATCCGGTATCAGATCTAATTGGCTAATGCACCACTTGTGATATCCAGAAGACATACACACCTGCACACATGTTGCCCTGTTACGGGTGTGGACTAACGGGTTCACACAAAGCAGAAATGCAGCAGAGTATTTTTCTTCCCTTTCAAGAAATTAAACAAATCGTACTTAAAACTGAAATAATTGGAAAAAGGAAAAAAAAAACCCACCACTTTTTTTTTTTCCTAGTGTTTGTGCTTTAAAACAAAAAAATAACGTTGGCTTTAAATTCCAAAAGACAAAGAACCTCAAATATTTCAGGCTTGATCCAACAGCCATTGAGTCAGCGGGAGCACCACCGTTGTCTTCAAGAGGCACTGGAACAGGCCCTCAGAGCAACAGACCTTCAGCAGCATGGCTGTGTTCATATTTAAAGTAGACAGTTTATGGCAGTATTTGTTGAGAGACTAACAAATAAGAAAAAAAAACCCAAAACAAAACAAAAACCCCATGCTGATCGAAGAAAGGCCTCCAGGCAGCCAGAAAAATACCCTGTTAGGGAAAGGTTAAAGTTTGGCTCAATCCAGCACTGTTTTCAACAACCAAAACAGTGGACATTGGTTTCCTAGGTGGCTCTGCTCCTAATTTTCAACCAGCTTGCCCAACACCTGCTGGAAGCAATAGCTTAACACGTTAGCAAGAACATTTATGGCACATCACGCTACCTTTCTAAAACAGGAAAGATGACCTTTGATAGTTGTATATGATTCTGCGACATACTTAAGGCATCCTTATACTTACAGTACTGTTAGAACCCACTCCAACAGAACTGCTTACCCATTTTTGAACAGAAATCTTTTAAAAACAAAACAAAACAAAAACAGCCGTCATCTACAAGAAGATGTAAGCGATCATCACTGATTTCAAAAGAAATAAAAAAAGAGGAAAAAAAGTTCACCATACCACTAAAACATTTTTGGCCAAAGGATGTCTGGGAACTAGAAAGGGATTCTTTTATTGCAAAAATGAGTTATGAAGGATTTTCTTCCCTAAACAGAGAGGTCCTCCTGAGCTACAGTGTACATCCAAGGGCGGAAGCCTAAGCCTTGCCCATTAGACGCCCCGTATGCAGCGGGAGGCTGATAGGACTCACACAGCACAAGGCACAGTGATCTGGGACACAAAAGGTACAGACAACCCAGGGGACAAAAAACAGCACGCATTTGGGGGGAGAAGGGGCAAAAAACCCCAAAGCAATTCAGGGTTCACTGATCCAAAAGGAAGCTATTCTATTTTGTCTCAGATCTGGGGGTAAGGCATTCCCTTTCCAGCAGCCGTTCATGACCCCTAAAGCCTCCACCTCATCCGTGCTGTCACCACCATCAACTGCTGCGTTCTTTTTTCCCCCTGAATCATCACAGGGGAGCAGAAGGGTAGATGGTGCAGGACTATGCAGCTACTACGTATTCAACAGTGGTGGAAACATGAGGACAACATCAAACTTGGCACGTGGCAGCTTTCACTGTTGGCTACATCCAAGGTGCGTGTATGCACACATGTACCTGCGTGAAAAGGACACACGTAACGACCCCCAAAAAAGACAATTTGTCTTAAGATGAAAAAAAAACAAAACAACCAACCCTGTTTTCCTTCAGGAATCTGACCTGCACACAGCAGATTTGGGAGAAGGAGGGGGAAAAAAAAAAAAAAAGAAAAAAGAAAAAAAGAAACCTGCCAGTGGTACCCACCTCAGCTACCCCTTATCCCCCCTTTTTCAGGGGGGACTTCACATCTTGCTGAAAGCAGCTCCCGGAGTGCCACAGGTTTTCAGCCGCTGTGTCAGATGGGCTGAAAACCGCAGCCACTCGGGAGCTGCTTCACCAGTGTTTCCACCAGGACCTGTCTCAGGAGAGTGAAGAGAGGACAGGTGGGAGGAGGTAACTGAGGCCAGGACCCTTTTTTCCCCCCTTTCTTTCTTTTTTCTCCTCCTTTTTAATCCTTTACATGGAAGTCAGAGCCCTTAGACAGAGCAAAATTCAATTCTGCAGATGGGGACAGCAGGGATGTAAGTATGATCCACAATGTGCATCTGAACAAACTTATCTCTGGAGAAAAGAAAAATAAAAATCAACTATTAAAAAGAAAAAAATAAAATTAAAAAGTGATCATTAAGAAGTATGCTTTCAGGCTTTCACAAGTCATGCATCTCTTCTAATTTGAAAAGATTAAATAATTTTTTTTTCTTTTTAGGCAGTGATTTAAAAATAAATGGCTAAATTATAGTTAGCGCCAAAAATAAAAAAGAAATGAGTCCTCTTATGGCTTTGATCTCCCTTGTGAAGGGTAAAAGTAGAAGAGTATTGCCACAATTAAAAAAAATATATGTATATATTCAACACTGACAAACATACTATTTTTTCCTTTGCTTGTGACAGTGGGTCTTTGCAGTACTTATTAGGGAACTCAAGCACGTTCGGATGCCAGCAAGGTGCAGCAGAGACCCCGCTGCTTCTTTCAACTCCTCATCGATTTCTTGACATAACTCCTTGAGTGCTTTGTTGCTAGGCTGACTTTCCTCAGAGGTATCTCCACAAGGTTGTGATGCATAGCCACTGTCTCCAAGAGGATCATCTTCAGAGTCAACGTCTGTATCCACTTCGCTGTGAAATCCTTCGCTGCCATCGCTTCCGTCGTGGCTGGTCTTGGAGATAAATTCGTACACCTCGTCGAGGGAGGACAAGGAAGACACGCTGGACCTAGATGCACAGCGCTGGGAACCCATGCTGCTGGCACTGTAGTTGTGATCCTCCTTCGGATCGATATTGGTGGCTGCAGAATCATTTTCCTGCATATTTATGGAACTGGGAGGATTGAATGCACTGCCGTAACTCCTCTTCTTAGGTGTCTTCAGAGGCTGAGGTTTCTCACCTATTGAAAAAAAGGTCTTCAGTGAGCAAATACTCCAATGAGATCACCTGCAAAATAACCACACTACGGTGGCTGACTGCAGAGTAAGGTGAACGTGAGTTTTAAGAGTCATTTAAGAGTCCTAATATCTTGTGCACATTTACTATCATCCACAGAGGATAACGGTTTTCAGCTAATCACAACTAGGAGCTGGAAAAACAGGCAAGTAGCTCAGAAACTCTTCCCAACATTTAGCACAAAGAGGGCAGGGGAAGGACTCTGCAGATAAAACAGAATTAACTCAAAAAAAAAAAAAGGGTTTTTTTTCCTAAAACTCTGTAATGCTAGCAGAAGGAACACTCAAACCAGAATTGCTTCTTTACTGCTCTGTTTGGAAACTAGACCATACTCGTTTCCTGAAACTTTATAAAGAAAACATTTAGCTACTGAGTGGAGAAGAAAACAGAGTAAAATGGCTTATGCTTACAGTCCAACATCCCTTGTTGAATGGAAGTATTTAACAGCATCATTGCAGTAGCAGCATCAATATCGGATTCTGCGAAGGAGAAGCAGCAAAACATTAGATCTCAGGGAAGCCTGACAAAATGAGGTCCCTAGAACATATATCTGCATATACCGGCCTACAATAAAGAGCCGGAGCGGGGAGGTGTGGGGAGGGAAACGTACGAATTTAGACAAAGCATGACTCTCAGTGCAATCCAGTTACAGAACAGTCTCATATCTTAACTATGGTATTCAAAAGCCAAATTCTCACATCGCACTTACCAAAGCTGAAACCAAGAATCAGCAACATTAATTAAGACATTCATACGACAATGCTGTTGCTATACTTATCAACAAGTGGCTTTTGTTTGTACCGGCTGAGAGAGAAAGATTACGCGTATGGCACAGCAAAGCATCTCAGCAGCTTCATCCCCTGGTCATGTGAATATGCAAGGCTGAGAGGACCGAACGCGCCCGTGAACACAGCACTAATTCAGCACATCTCTCTCCTCCAGCAGCAGTTTTCACACAAACAACAAGTCAAACAGGAGAAATTGAGAAGACGAGGGGAGAAAGGGCACTGAACTGAAAGCATGAGGATCTAAATAATAAATAGGCACTTTAAAAGGTTTAGGTGAACTGTGGTGCTTTTAGCGAAGGTGACAAGCGCTGCTGTAAAGCTCCATCCTTTGCCGCCCAGAGTGGATTGCTTACATCTCAAAAAGGGCACCTTGAGGATATTATGGCAGAGTGACATTTCTAACCAGAAACAGATGAAAAGGAAAAGAAACAAGCACACATTTCCCACTCATTTCAGGACACGCTCCTGCACTTGAAGAAAAAAAAAGAAAAAAAAAAAAAAAGGAAATGCAAGGTCTTGCTTTGATCACTTCAGCTATGAATGATGGAGAGACAGGCTATATATTCCTCTCCTTATACAGGAGAGAAATATAAGACTATATCTATATGGTGGACTAGCCAGGTAAAAGAGAAGCAAAGAGACAGTGAGTGCTCACAAGAGCCAAAGACCACATTGGAGGCGTACATATGTATGTACGTGTGAATGGTGAGTGGGGACGCGAGGCTGGAGGACAATGCATGTG